ATTTTTATCTTATTCTTTAGGTAATCAGATAACAGGAGTAGGGGTATATAGGGCTTTCTAACCCAGGAGCTCCGAGGGGGGAGCGGGGCGCGGGGAGTACTCCGGGGCGAGGGGGAGTGTGGTGGGGAGGGTACTCCGCGGCGAGGAGACCGCGATCTAGATGCTGACCTGTCATTTTTAACACCTGGACGGGTATGAGTCACGGGGTCTTGACATCGCGCTAGGTGCCGACATGTCAAATTGCACGTGTTTGCGTTCTCTCTCGCCCCCACTGCTGTTCTCTCTCGCTTTACTTAAATATTTTTAGCGCGAACACCTGGACGGGTATGAGTCGCGGGGTCAAGCGCCGAAACCTGGCTAGGATCATCCGCGGCGCGGGGAGGGAGTCAAGCGTTGAAACTCGACGGGTATTCGCCCGTGTTTGCGTTCTCTCTCGCTCCCACTGCTGTTCTCTCTCTCGCTCCCACTGCAGTTCTCTCGCGCTTTACTTAAATTTTATGAGATCGAAGAGGATAGGAATAAAGAAAGGATAAAAATGATTTTGAACAAATATATATATATTTTTCATGATTTGGCAACATTTTTATTTTATTATAGAAAATAAACATATACTCAAACTGTTACATTTATCATTACAGAAAAATAATTCTAAACTAATTTAAACCTAAACTAATTTAAATTTAAAAAATCTAAACTTTATCATTGTAGAAAAAAATACATTTCTTTGCATTAAATTCTAAACTAATTTAAATTTAAAAAATCTAAACTTTATCATTGTAGAAAAAAATACATTTCTTTGCATTAAATTCTAAAAACTAATTTAAATTTCTTTGCATTAAATTCTAAACTAATTTAAAACCTAAACTAATTTAAATTTAAATAAACTAAACTAATTTAAACTAAATAAACTAAATAAACTAATTTAAATTTAAAAAATCTAAACTAACTTAAATTCTAAACATTAAAATAGCGATCCGATTTTGGTGTCTCGATTTTTCCCATGGTACAAAATGTGTCAGCAATGTTATCATGCGCGACCGATTAGGGGATAAACTCCTATGTCGAAAAAAATCGGTATCATGCATTGACCTCGCGATTATACAATGTCGTGGGAGGAAAAAATTTGCTGCATTCGATGTAACATAGAACTACTGCACGCCAAAAGAGCAGTATGCTGCAGAGAATGCATCGAGACGTATTTGGATTCCCGTTTCCTTCTGCGGCGGAGAACGACGATGTTAATTTTCTGAAAAGAAAAAAATATATGCACACACATTTTTTTACATATTATAAAATTATACCTTTTTAGTTTCTTCTTGTAATCTCCGATTCATAATTCATCCGCACGCGGTCTCGCGCTCGGAGATCATCCTCCTTATCCAAATACGTCTCGATGCATTGGCTGCAGCTTACCGCTCTTTTTGCATGCAGTAGTTCAGCGTTACACCGTATGCAGCACATCTTTTCCTCCCATGGCACATTATACAGCCGCGAAGTCAATGAGTGATACTGTGTTTTTTCTACGTATGAGTTTATCCCCCTAATCGGTCTGGCGTTATAACATTGACGGCACATTTTATGCCACGGGAAGAATCGTGACACCATAATTGGATCGTCTGATATTTGTATCAAACATGTGCTCCGCAACAGCAACCAATAAACATCAGGATGATCATGTGGCCTCACGCCATCGACGGGGCCCTCGGTCGCCAGATCGACAGGCGGAGTCGGAGGTCTCATTTTACTATAAATAATTTTATTTATTTAATTTTATTTAATATGTTTTTATTATTACAAAAAAACTGAATTTTTGTTTACCTCAAGTTTTTTGGTTGCCTGACACAGTAAAATAATATTGATGTTGTTTGGTCGCCTTCTCCAACACTTTTCCAACACTTTCAGACACAAGCTCTTTTACCGCACTTTTCCAAACACAAGCTCTTTTACCGGCACTTTTTTTCGGTTGCAGTCGCTCGTACTATCGCTCAAAGACTATGTTCGTACAGACTGTTACAGTCGCCTTTTTATTAGCGTGGACACACAGCTGTGCATATTATATTCCGCGAGATGAGCCATAGGATATGGGTATGATGAAGTCATACATGTATTCGCGGAACAGAGATTTTATTTCACATAGTCATACATCTGATTATAATGAAAAACTAAAAGCTAGCTTGGTACCAATCAACCCATTCTCTCTTATAGGGATACACAGTACCCGCGCAGACAGCGCTCACGCAGCTCACGCAGCTCACGCAAGGCCGCCAATAGCTCACAATTTTGAATGTATAACTACGAACATTCCACCTCCTGCGAAAGAACTCTATCATCGACTGAATATAATGTCATGCATGTAGTATGGAATAGAAATGACAAATAGCGTAAAAAAATTTGAACTAAGATAAAGATTATAAAACATAGATGATGACGCGAGATGAGACAGAGGATCGCGCGCTGATACATGGTTTCAGACAGAGACATTATTCGCTAGATGCTGACTTGTCACAACGTGACAAGTAATAGAAATCACAGGAGACGTTTCGGCACTTTTTATTTACGTGAACACCCGCACCTGGATGCACGTATTAATTTCCCCGCTATGTATCGCGGGATCGAGCGCCGATACACGGCTGCTATATTCGCTAGATGCTGACTTGTCACAACGTGACTT